TACGCAAGGATGCAAAATTCCAGATTGATAGGATAAGTAGCAGTGTGTTAAATTTCGATTATAAGATTTGTATTAGACAGACAACCAAGAAGTGAAGTTAAAGAGAAGTGTTGTAATAAAAACTGGCATTGAACGCGATCGTGTCCATTTGCAGATGTGAATCAATCAACATAAGCTTAATTTACACATTTTCTGGTGAAAATTGGATTTTTCTAATGTTTTTACGTCGACTTAATCACATATTTTCAATTGAAACAAAATTGACATTTGAGGCAAACCTTTTGTTATTAATCCAGAAAATGATCGCCAGTTTCTGACACAAAAATATGCCGTTATGCGTTTCGTATAGCTACCGCAAATCGGCAATGACGCATCAACGAACTTTGATGGCCTAGGATCCGCACTTGCACATCAACGCACGTTCATGTATCATTTCTAATAACTATATTATCTAAGGGGACGATAGAGCTACTGTTGAGTACCGCACCGGGTCTTCTGTGATGGAAAGATGCAGCCTCAAATGTTTGGTTGTGGCAGTTGGCTCGGCTTCTACTTAGAAATCCTGGTAAAGCTTAGACGCAGCACGCGCTTAAAGTTTCAGTTCGATAAATTTATTCGGGATCTTGAAGTAGCACCTCGAAAGTAGCACTTTAATTGGCTGCTCTTGTACCTAGAATTCACGTCATCGGTTACGGTTCAATCATTGTTGATCCTCTTCTTCGGAGTTTGACAATTGGACGGTTATAAATAGCTGCGGTGAATAGATTAGAAGCATACTATCGTGGTGAAACTTTTATAGCGATAGCTACCCGTGGTACTCTTACCTTCTTTAAACCATGACGTCACCTGAGTAAACGATGTTGTGAGTTCGTATCCAGTTGACACCGTTGAAACCTATGCAATAGGTTTTGCATTCCTTAGGCAATTTGTAGGTCTTATTTTGGTCAAAATCGTATTAATGAAGTTTTTGTACTGAAGATGGAGCTGGACTCCGATAAGTTTTCACTGCAGACAAAATGCGTTTTTTTTTTTGGCGTTTACATTGATTTCAATGCTTAGTTCATATGACAAGTTGCAGCAAATCCGTCATTTGCTAATCTAAAGGAGAATTGACTTTGCATATAAATTTTAAAACAACACGCACTTTATACTATGACAATTTGGAATTTATGCAGAATTTGTCACAAATTTTTATAAAACATCGAACGAGTATAAATTCATTGACCAAACCTTCATTACTGCATTTCTTCTAACAATATAATTAATGCTCTGTGAGTCCGACTGAGGAAAGTCTAATTCTCAACTCGAATTTTTTGTAGAAGGCCGTAGACTGATTTTCAGATAGATAAAACAAAGAATAAATTTTCATCTAAATGCATTACCTAAATATTAATCGAAAAGAGGTCTAAATAGTTTCCACGTTGATTAAAATGATTGGATGTGCTATACTGATTTTTTAAATTGTGCTCTAAATTCATGTTAAGAAAAGAGCACTTTTTGCTGTGATGGTGCCCTCATTTTGATGGTGACTTCGAATCTTAATTCCGCACCAAAGGATGGGCAACTCAGACGTCGTCCACCGCGGGAGCGCAGCCGTGGGTAACAAAATTGACTCGTAAACAGGCCCCGGGTCTAACGCCAACCATCAGCATGCAATGTCTACACATAGCCTCAGATCAATGAGCTGTGGGTAACTCCGGCTAACAGTAAATCCGCTTTGCACAAAACAGCCACTGCTTCACAGCGCCGGAACACAACTGGCCGGGGCGCAACAGGCCCTACCGCAACAGAGGCGCAGCCTCGTAGGTTAGGTTCGGTTCGGTTACGTTAGGAGTAGCCTGTTGCGGTAGGGCCTGTTGCGCTCCGGCCTGTGACTGAACTGCGCTGTTGTGGTGGGCGCTTTGTGTCAAAAGCCGTGAAAATGCCCGGCTGCCTTACGCTCGGGAAGATATATGAATCGCACTGTGGACTTGGGCTATGCTGACCTCTAGCGATCCACCCGTCCACCGCATGTCTCTATAAATAGAATTAGCGGAGCCTCACATACACGACATTCACCAGACACAAACGTTCAGTCACATGCAGGCTATATCAATCATGCAGGTCATTTTTTCGTCACAAGAAAACTATCATTGATTCGCCACATGCGACCGATCACTTGTTCGCCAGATGCAACCGATCACTTATTCACCACATGTACACGATTAATTATTCGCCATCACATACGATCAATTATTCGCCACGGACAAGCGATCACTTATTCGCCACATGCACACGATTAATTATTCGCCATACACATAAGATCAATTATTCGCCACGCGCGAGTGATCACTTATTCGCCACATGCACATGATTAGTTATTCGCCACATATATACGATCGACTATTCGCCTCCTGCAAACGATCAATTATTCGCCGCAATCGATCAATCATTCAACTATTCGCCAATCAATCAACTATTCGCCATATACAAACGTACACGTATAACTCTCATTAAATGTGCTATACTGATTTTTAAAAATGTGTTCTAAATTCATGTAAAGAAAAGAGCACTTTTTGCCCTCATGTGATGTGCCCTCATTTTGATGGTGACTTCGAATCTTAATTCCGCACCAAAGGATGGGCAACTCAGACGTCGTCCACCGCATGTAGATTGGGTCTCTACAAACAAAATTAGCGGAGCCACACATACACGACATACATACGACAATCACCAGATGCAAACGATCAGTCACATGCAGGTTATATCAATCATACAGGTCATTTTTTTCGTCACAAGAAAGCGATCGCTTATCCGCCACATGCGATCGATCATTTATTCGCCACATGCAACCGATAACTTATTCGCCACATGCACACGATCAATCTTTCGCCATACACATACGATCAATTATTCGCCACGTTTGAGTGATCAATTATTCGCCACGTGCACATGATTAGTTATTCGCCATTTATATAAGATCGACTATTCGCCTCCTGCAAACGATCAATTATTCGCCGCAATCGATCAATTCGTCAACTATTCGCCACATACAAACGTACACGTATAACGATCATTTATCCGTCACTCAGGAACGACCGCAAAAATGCCCCGGGAAAACTGATAACCCAGTCTGCTTTTCTTACAAGTTTAACTATGATTACACGAGTCTGAAAATTGTTTTTATTTCTGAAAGGGCGACTGTTTTTTTTTCACTGATTTCATTTTGGGTCAGGGAATTAATGCATTAATTTGAATTGAACTCTCATTTTACATTTTATTAAATGTCTATAGCACCTCACTTCCCACCACAATGTCGCTGAATTTTTTTTTATAATTTTTAACGACGTCAATATTTTAAGCTTTCCGTTTCCATGTTATGCGATTTATAAAGCGTGGAAGTGCACATCCAGCACTAGTATTAGTGGGTATCAAAATTTGTTAGAAACAAGAAAATAGCTAAATATTTTTAATCATAAAGTGTTAGACAATAATTTACTATCGACGTTCATGAAATAAAATCACGCAGGAAAACAGCGAATAACATCACCATTGCCTGCCTATTATTTGTTAGCGTGAAGTTTTTACTAGAAAATTATAGCAGAAGTATTTCAGTTATTTTGATTTTGCCGCTGTTGAAATGCATTTTTTCGAACGATATTGCCAATCATTATTCATTAAAATTGAGTCCCAGCAATCATTAGACGTCGACTCAACGTCATTAGACATTACGACGTAATCAACCAGCAATCGACGATGTTACAGCGTTAGTGGCGCGGTGGAGCGGATCTGCCTAACTGGAGCGCTCCTCTTGTACAGACCGAGGAAGAATATTGTAAATATATATAATATAATACATTGGGAGCTTCAAATTAACGAATTTAGCAAGGCAAATTTGATACCGGTGACATTTTAATTGCTATTTTTGGCTTAGAATATTAAACTGATAAAATATGAGCCATTAAATTAATATTAAAATACGAGTCTGCAAAATTTCAGATAGATTGGACAGCTAGAAGGGTGTTAAATATTGATTATAAGATTTGTAGCAGACAAAATTATTTTTTCAGTTTTTTTAATATTAAAAAAAATTCTATTTATAAAATTATTTATTTTGTCATTTGATTCATGCATTGTCTCCAACTTTAAACAACTGTGCAAAATTTTAGATCGATGGGATAAGTAGAAGTGTGCTAAATTTTGATTAGAAGATTTGTAGCAGACAGACAGACAAACAAGAAGTGAAGTTAAAGAGACGTGTTGTAAAAACCACCTTAATTTCTACCATAAGTTTTGTTGTGACTGCGTGACGCATTCTATGTCGCAACGAAATCAACATTTAATGATGTGTTCAAATTGGTATATTGTGTTCTTGCTGAAAACTTACCAACAAAATAAGCAGTGGGGTGGTCAATGCTTGATCGTTGCGATGGATGATCATGACGCCTCTTGCAGCTTCCTTTTTCCAACGTCCCAATGCACTCGCCGCTGGGGAGAGGAAATTCTTTCGACCTCTTTGCAAGGGCGATAGATTAGAACTGAAGCTAGTACGTTGCTCCAGCAGAATTTTGAGCTCAAAATAAAATCGAAATTCATAACGAATCCTCAATCTTTATCAATAGGTCGGTCGCAAATCCGGCTAGCATAATCCGGATAAAGTTGTTTGCTGGCCTGGAGCCTGCCGAGCGCAGGATTTGAACTTCGCCAAATTTTGCACCAACGCAGTCATTCATTTTGGTCGTTTGCTTTACAAATTATTTCTTAAAGTTTACCCAGTTAATTATTGCGACTGAGCTTGAAGCATCTCGTTAATGACAACTATAGGACATCTTTAACTGTTGGCAGGAGCTTGTTCAAGTAAAAAACTGTTTTGCCTCAATTCTGGCCCATTGAAATAAATTAGCACTTGTTGCGTTATATCGCGTATCAGATCATCTGTTAAAGACTATATTAAAAGACGCTCGTAATCCGCTGCGGCTACTCTTCATTACTTAGGCAAACATCTTTGAAAGTAAAACAAATTTGTCAGGGCATTTATTGAAAGATGTGAAATATTTATTTCCAAATGCATTCGGTAGGAAATTGGTCTCGAAAACTCTGGAGATCATTCACTTCATCAAATTTATTTCATAGCCCGCACTATAAACCGTACTGTAAATAAATATATTTTCATTTAAATATTAACAACATTAATCACGGTATCTACTTGAGGCCAATTTACATCCCATGAAGCCAGCCCATGACAATTTTTATTACTAAAAGATACCAAAATTTTTCGGGGCAAAGTTTTCAAGCACTCTGCAAACAGCAGTTACATAGAAGCACCTCAATCAATCGTCGTAAGAGCTACTTAGGCACTATATTTAATCTATCTTATATACGGAAACGTTTCAGACGCATTAAAAGTATGGATAATGGAGTTATACTTAATCCAAGAAAGTTTAAATTTCCCCCACTAGAATTGGACGCATTAATGGAATATGTATTTGTGTTCGTTTATACGTTACAAAGTGTAGATACAACACAAGAAACTAAAATTGTAAACTTATATTAGCATCGGCGCTCATTAGTCAAATCACATGCAAGAAAATACGTTCGATACATGGAAATAATTTGGTAAAGTGTGCAAGGCAGACATTTTACTTCAACCCAAATTTTCCTATCAGAACTCAAAATAGAGGAAGACTACATATTAGGATGCGTCATTGTACAAAATCTGAGCATCAAACCGCACTGTGAAGAATTCACAATAGTACAATAGGATGACAATAGTCGAGAATATATTGACAAAACGTAAAAATTGACTTGTGCTCGTTAATTCAACCCGAAGAAATTAAAAACGGAGAAACTATCAAAAGGAAAGGTCATGGGGTATTGGTTAAGTACAAGATTTTATTCCCTCACCCCATGGAATGTGAATATTTAAGATGAAAAGCTGACGCGATGACCTCCTCCAATTATCAGTTCCTACGATATGGCATCTTTACTGTGTCAACGTCAATTCCTCTTGGCGAGAAGAACTCACATTTCATGCAGCTATAAAAGTATAAAGGATATTCAGCTGTGAGCAGACGTTGAGAAGGCAAGGAGGAGACAGCACATCAAGTAAAATCGGTACAAAAATATCTTCTATGGTGAAATCCAGGCTGCGGTTAGATTTTCCAGACCTCAACACCCAGTAACACCAGATGGAAGAACAATCACTAAGAATCTAGAACACTAACAAGCAAATGGGATAACTTTAAAACCTTAGGCCGTGTAGAACAAATATTTTGGAACATATAAATCCAAACTTCATCAACTTTATATGTTAATTTGATTTCAATAGTTACTTAAAAAACTCATCTCCTAAGAAGAATCCAATGACTAAATAACATCCGAGTTCATCTTCAAAAAAAAAAAATAATAATAATAATAATAATAAAAATAATAATAATTTCCGCAGTTTTCCAGTCTCCATACGTTGTGTTTCTGAAATAATATCCGATGAACCATGCAATATCTGACAACTAAGACACTTCTATCGCAGCCGTGCATCATCTGACGTCTAGAACGCAGAGTTTTGTGAAGACACATCACTTGGTGGCCTCCTCCTCGATATCGACGGAGTCGTCCGCGTTCTGGGAGTCATCGCTGGCCGTAGCCACGCTACCACGCTTCACTCCAAGGAAGTCAAGGCGCGAGCTCAGCCCTCCACCACCCCTTCTGTCGCAAAAGACAAGCAATTCAGAAATACTGAGATCATATTCCAAGACTAAACTTTATCCTTGCCAACAGAATGAATTAGTGTTGATATAATTTATACATCAAATTTTTATCGAGATATTTGCAATTCACTTTAGTTACGGTTAGTTTACACTCGGTTAGAGCACTAGCACGATGGACAAAGTTCCACGTGTTCAAAAACGTGGTATGATTTTAATCAGAATCATTGCGATCTTGGATTAGAATCAGCGAGCGTTGGGAAAACGCAATTACGGTGAACATTAGTCTGGGACTACCAGCCGATAAATTCATTCTTAACATTAATAAAAAAAATAGCAAGCAAGTAAATATATACGGTTACTACATACTAAAAAAGGTGTACTTGTCAAAGGATGCGTAAACGATAGATTAAAAACGAAATAATTCCTAAGAAATTAGTTGTTATAGGAGTACTAATAAAAAAGACGTGAACGGTCAGACTCTTGGATGACAATTTCAAATGAAAGTTTGACAAGTTTTCAAGTTAACCAAAGTTTCGTGAAACAATGAGGCAGATTGATAAGTATAATTTCAAACTACCTGACACTATTTACTGAAAAAAAAAAGAAATTCCTCAATAAATTTAGGAATTGGTGCAAGCAAAAAAGAATTAAGCAGGAAAATGTGGAATCTAAAAAGTAGATTATAGAGAACCAAGAGATAAATATAATCTATAATAACGCGTATAAGGTCGCTGATGGAAATTAATACAGCAAACAATTGTCTTTCACAGAATTGTGATAAAAAATTAGAATCAATTATTTTAGCAGACAGAAAAGCAGTGGATACGAGACTACAAATAAATAAATGGAAGAAAGCTGCATCTAAATAGTTGTTCAAGGACAGGTTTAAGGCGAATTTGACTAAAATATAATTACACAACAGCACTCGTAATATTTAAGGAGTTGGTAAATAAAATAAGGAATCGAAGGAGATAGGATACAATAAGAAATGGCATGAGTGACCCACAGTGTTCATTAGCCACAACAAAATTAGATAAACAGCAAACGGTACTAACGATGGACATTTCCGTGAGCACCGACTGTGAAAGACAAACCAAACGTTAACAAAGTATAATTGAGAGTTAGATATTGTACTCTCTTCAATGTTTTCAGCAAAGTCATCAATTCCTTTGTTGGATAGCTAAGGGATTAGTAGATTGCGTATCTTCGACTTTTAAGTTATTTAATATCGATCAATTATTATTTAATATCGAAAGAACATATATATATATATATATATATATATATATGTGATATATAAGAAGAACAGCGAAAGGCGAAAATCCGGACAGCGGAGCATTTAGTTGTAGTTTGTTGCACTTTATGTGAAGTTAAATTTAGCTATTCGGTGAAATTAGGAAGTTCGTGTTACATAAGGGTAACCGAGGCATTATCTGTTCGCGGTCCTTAACTCTATCCCGCCGTATGTCACTCTCCGGGAACATAACTTTAAACTTGAGTTATACGTAAACTATTGCGTGTAGCAACCTGAGGACATTTGTACGCAACAGAGAACATTTTAAAGTTGTCGTACGTGGGGCCGACATTAGTACAAGTAATTTTGCGCTCACTAGAACGTATCCTTTTTGGGATATAGGCTTGCGACAATATTGCTCCGGTTACTCATGTCAGGCGGTAGAGGGATAAAATTGCCCAGCTCCATATGTTCTCTTGCAAAAATAAACGAAATCGATGAAAATCAACCAACAAATTAAAAACGAAGTAATTGTGTTAGTCAAACAGTGCACAAACGAGTTGCTGCCCTAAATGAGTAATATGTCAATACAATGTTCTAAGAAAATTTTAACAACTGTCAAGATAACATTTTCGCACTAAAATGCATACATTATTTTTCAAACTAGAAAATTTACGCAGAGCACATAAAGTCCACATGTTGTTAAAAAAGCACATTCCTCTGTGAAACACAACGGTACACAACGCAACGAAGTACCGCTACTGCAGCTGAGACGGTCCGGCGTCCTCGGAAGTGTCCGAAACAGAAGCCAGGTCCAGGGGATCTGAATCTAAGATATTGGACGCGGAAGCGTTGCGGGAAAGCTTCCCTAAACCTCGGTTGGTCCTCCGACTCAATTGATTGAGTAGCTTCTCTGCCTCCGCTTGACTGAAGAGGCAAAGATGAAGTGAAAAATGAATATGAATGAGGGTGGAAATGTTGAGAAAATAAACACTAAGAGCGTGTGAATCGACTTGGAGTAGGATGCAGAATTTTCAATCAGAAAATAAAGTAAGGAAAAACTACGGTCAGATGTCGAAGAGAGATATAAAATAGAAGTAATATCTATCAAAGTTCAAAGAAAAAGTCACAGAAAGATTATGGATTAAAACGGCAGAAGTAGAAGATGAAAATGGTGCAAATGGTGAAAAAAAGTTGAAAGTTTCATGAAGCACCAACATAAGGTGTTCTCCACATTGATGCAAAGCATGAAAAAACTATTCACAATGCGCGTGCAGATGCTGAAGTGAGGAAAGGAGCCCACACGGCGCACACTACAAGCGGGGCTGTAGGAAAAAATTATTACCGGCCATAGAATATCATGCGTGGTTACTGTTGTTGGTAGTATTGTTGCTGGTGACATTTTGAGGATCCTCTGCAGCAACATCCTTAGAGGCATTTCCATCGGCTACTTCTTCGCCATCGCTCGTATCGGTACTGTCGCCGGCGGCACCGGCTGCCTTCAATACCCGGCTCACGGATGAGGTTGAGTACTTACTGAACTTAGTATTTCTGCGGAGTGATTGGCAATACAACGAGTCTATTCGTACTCTGGGCAGGTTTCAACATCGATCAGGCATAAACTACTTGTACTCGCGAAAGCCATGCATTAGTTAGTAAGTGGTAAGCGAGGTGTGAAATTTGTGATGGTGAACCATTCAGTATTATGGCGAAGGCAGCATCTTTGTTATCGAAATATGATTCGTTCGAGATAAGGCAACAAAAATGAGCGCAAGTACAGACAATGTCGATGCGCAGACCACAGGCTTACTTTGCTGTCACTTCCAAGTAAAGGAAAACGTATTACAGAAAATTCCACAATGTACGTTAACACGTAGTTTGTACCTACAGTAAATTTTCTCGTATTATTGAACAAAGTTAGAACTTTTGAATTGTCGTTATACTATTGTAGAAGTAATAACGATTAAGTAACTAAGAATTGAAAAGCGTGAAGGTGTAAGTATTATTCCCATGAGTGATTCTGAATTTGTGAACACCGTAGTCCTTCAAAATGATTTTAGCGACAAAAAATAGAATACAAACTCTCGATAAAAAAGAGCACCCCCAATTTAACAAGAGGACTTTCGATGATCACTTCTTCCATCGGTATAAAAAATAATAATGGACATTGAATGGCGAACACATCTGTTGATGCCAATATACTGGCGCACAGCGTTCCAGGTAATTTCCAGCTTTAATTACGGTAAAAGAAATTTTCTCGGGAAAAAATGACTGATTAACAGAGCAGCTGAAACGAATTTGTGCTAGCTTTAGCTTGAGACTGCATCGCCAAGAAAGCCTTTAGCACTTATGTTAGTACAGACTTACAAGAACAGCGCCGTCTGCAAACTTGTTATATTTAAAACATGTTTAAATAAATTTCCAAATACAATTTAAACAATAACTCACCTTAGTTTGGTCTTGAGAGTGGAGATCTCGCGATTTTGGCTTTCTTGAGCCTCCATCATATCTTCAACTTCTCTCTGTGCCTTACGACGCTGCATTTTCTCCTTGCTCAGCTCATCCTCAGTCTCTTCCATCTGGCGCTTGAGTTGCTTGACGCGGGAATTCGACTGCAAATTAATAGTGATTAATGATCAGCGTCTCTGATGATGCGTCTTCCAACCAAAGTACCGAATATGAGGCAATTTTGAACAAGTGAACTCATATGACAATTGGCATGAGAAGAATTTATTGACAGTTTTAGAATACTGGAAAATTTTTCTACCACAGTCGTATCGAGTAGTAAGAATTTGGTTGTATTTTTCGAAATGATCTCCGTAACTACATATTTTTTCTTCAAGCATATTTGATAATTTTCTTATTTCTACAACTGAAAAGTTGAAAGAGGTAACTCGGTGACTTGACAAGAAAATATTTGCAAGAACCCCATTGTCTGCAATATGTTAAGAACGTTTATCATGCAAACAAAAATGTGGCGCTATTTGGAATGAAGCAACTGTAAATATTAAATATTGGTGAATGATTATATTTTAAATATTCCCACTTTGAAACGAGGAATAATTGGCAAAGTTTTACCTTATCCAGTTGCTCCTTGTACTGGTCGGCGTGTCGTCGCTCGTCCTCGACTTGCATGAGCAATTCTTTGAGTTTCTTCTCAAGTTTGCGGTTGCCTTTAGCTTGCGCGAGGCGCTCTCTTGACTCAACCTCCAATTGTTCCTCAAGATTGGCCATCTGCGACGGGACATTCATATATGAACATCGAATTTGTTGTGCATGAGTAAAGAATATCTGAACATGAAAAGGGATTAGATTTTTTATAACATCGTGGAATTTTGATTGGACTTTACTATCAATTTTTTAAGTTTCAGTATATACCTTGGACTCTAGGGCAGCAATCGTGGATTTAGTTTTGCTTCTGATCTCTCCCTCGAGCTCGGCGAGTTTGGACTTGTGTTCCTTGTTCTGGCGCTCGAGCATGGCACGATGGCCCTCCAGCTTGACCACAACGGATTTCTCAGCGTTCAGGTCCGTCTGCAGTTGTTCGTTGCTCAGCTGAATCTTGCGCATGCGATCTGCCATTTCCTGTACACAAATTATAACAGATGGTGAAAAATTTATGCAATAAAGATACAAAGAAACGTATTTACACTGAATGGAAAAAGAAAATGTCTCGTCATTTTATTCTCGCCAATCATAATTTGGAAATAACTACATTTAACAATGATTAACAAATAACATTTTGCCTAATTTTAATAAAATTTGAAATTAGGCAGGGCAATTTAAAATGAGGCAAAGTTATTCTGAAACGGTGAGCTAGAGAGAATAGAGAATAACAACCTATTCGTTAACTCTTCTCATATGATGAATAATGATACTCACGGCAACGTTGCTCTGCTCGTCTTCAAGTTCCTCTTCAAGTCCAGCGATCCTGGCTTCCAGTCTCTTCTTCTCATCAGCACCAAGAGTCATCTTGCTGGTGTATTGGTTCAGCTCCTCTTGAATCTCATCGCGCTCACCTTCGGCATTCTGTCCCGAGGAACATATTAAAATATGAAATAAGATAGAACAAATTAGCTACTATTTTAAAATTTCAACTCATTTATGAAGTAAATTCAAAATTAAAAAACAACAATATCAACTACCAGCGTACACATGCTTCATGGCAATGAACTACCACCACACGCGTAACATTTTCAACCAACCTTCTTGGCCCTCTCGGCGCTGGCCAGATCTTCTTGGTACTGAATGAGCTCAGCTTCCATAGCCTTAATTTTCCTCTCAAGTTCCTTGTACTGGGCTGACAGCTCTTCGCGAGATGCACGTGATTCATCAGCCTCTCGCTGGTACTCCTTGAGTTGACCGCTAACTCGCTTGATCTGCTTGAGAGCGTCCTCCTTCACTTTGCTGCTCATCTCGAGCTGAGCTTCCAAGTCCTTCAAGTCACCTTCGAGCTTCTTCCTGCCAGTAACAGCCATAGTTCGCTGCTTGCGCTCTTCCTCAAGCTCGGCTTCGAGTTCACGCAGTTGCTTGATGAGAGCTCTCCTCTTCTCCTCGCCTTGCTCCTCCCGCGCCGTCAGGTCGCGCTCAAATTGGGCCTTCATCGCCTGCATGTTGACTTCCAAGCGCAGTTTAGCGTCCTCTGTGAGTTGTAGCTCGTCCTCCAGCTCCTCTATCTGTTTGTACAAATCAGAAAGTAAACACTAACATGAGAAAAAATAACAGAAAGTCAAGAAGCATGGACACAAAACTATTTTCACTAATTTGTAATAAACTTGCATCAAAATATGTAAAAATTAGATGTCAATATTATAAGAAAGAATATTATCTAGATGCCTACTTTCAACTAGGATGGTTTTCATGGAAGCTGGCATATGAGATAATTCGGAGTGAAAATTTTAAGAATTGAAATGAACCATCACCTGAGTCTTCTGTTCAGCGAGCTGCGACTCAAGAGATCGTTTAGCCTTCTCGAGCTCGTGCACGTTCTTGTCAGCGGTGCCGCGTGTGGAGACCAGATCGTCAAGCTCCACCTGCAGCCTCTTGCGGGACATGTCCACCTCTTCCAGACGCTCCTGCATCTCCTCCACCGATCTGTTCAAACTCTCTTAACTTAGAAACACGGCATTCTAACCCAAACACTTTCCAAGCAGTAGGAAATGTTAATTGATCATCTAGATATATTTTAGCCATTATGAGAAATGTTGATTGTTGAAGTAGATATATTTCAACAATTATAGGTAAGTATCAACAACGAAGTTTTATACGTACAAAAGCTTCCGTCTAGAGGCAGAACACAAACATACAGACTATATCTAATATTTCAACAAATTATATCGGTTCTAACCGGTTGAGAGAAAGAATCTTCGTTTCCTTCTCACGAGCTTCTCGCTCGGCCATTTCTTTCTCTTGAAGGCAGCGCTCGTAGTTGGCCTTCTCTTCATTAAGCAGCTTGTCGAAATTGCGTTGCTTCTTTTCCAGCTCCACTACCTTGCCACGGTTGGTGTCAATGTCGACCTGAGGAGTAAAAATTTTACATGAAAGCAAAAAATATCAATAAATAAAATAAATAGAAAATATGAAGGTAAGAATGGTAAAACTAGCTGAGATAAGAATGTTATTCAGTCATACGAAAAATATAAAAAAATAGGGAAATGGAATTAAAAAGAAAATACAGAGAAGCAACTAAATTAAACTACCTACTCATTTTAAAGCTCACTAAAATGTCGAAAGAGATTAACAAAATACACGAGCTATGCGCCAGGCAAAATTTTGTAAAACGGTCAAGAAGAAACCTTTAGAACTCAATTATAATACACAATAATATACGCCATGGGTTACTGAACGAGATAATTTTTCGCTAAAAATATACACTTACTTGAGCATCTTCAAGCTCAGCCTGAAGCTTCCTTCTGCTCTTGTCTAGTTTCTCATTGAGTGCTTGGAGTTCAGCAAGACGGGCTCGGAGTTCCTCAAGCTCCTTACTCTGTCGTTTTTTGGTCTCCTCGAGCTGCAGCGAGTTGTTGGACTCTTCCTCGGCACGCTTCTTAGCCTCATTCAATTGAACCTGAAAATCGAGAACCTCTTCACAGATTTCCGTAATAATGTACAGAAAACTATATGGATAGTATCATAATAACACATCATAATAAACAAAGGAATGCCGAAAAATATTGTTTCGCTTATAAAAAATACAATCAAGAACGGTAATGGGTTCATTAAATATACAATATTCTATGGACTTTAAATGCAGCACTGAGAATAAGCCAATCGACAGAAAGCTTTCTTCGACTGCGCACCTGGAGGGTGGCGACTTGCTTCTCTAGGTTTCTTTTGCTGCCTTCTTCCTCTTCAAGAACCTCTTGAAGGTGTGCTTTCTCTTGCTCAATGTTCCTCAGTTTGGTGTTGAGAGCGAGCTTATTGCGGGTTTCCTCTTCAAGCAGGCCTTGTGATTCGGCAAACTGAGCTTCTAAATTCTTGAGTTGATTAGCGGCAGCCAGGGCTCTAGACTCAGCCTCCTCCATCTGCAAAGAAGCTGCGCTGAACTCTTGTTCAATCTTGGCAAGTCGTTCCTGGAGTTCCAGGCGTTGGCGTTCGCTATCGCCAGATTTGCCTTGAAGCTCAGCGATTTGGTTTTCCAGCGCTTTACGTTTTTTGTCACTTTCGAGCCGCGCACTCTGAAGAGCCTTCAAGTCATTAGCAAGGTCCGCGTTCTCTGCTTCAAGCTGTGCTTTACTCTTATCGAGACTAGCTTTAGTTTTCTTGAGCTGATCGATCTCCTGATTGAGGTTGGCAGTCATGTTGGCGTGTTTATGACGCAATTCGGCAATCACTTGTTCATGAGAAGCTACTTCTTCTTCAAGGGATCGTTTCAGCCCAGCCAATTCTTCTTCACGCTTAGTCCTGAGCTCCTGCTGTGCTGCAGTCGTATCAAGGGAATCCAAAAGTTCATTCTTTAGAGCCTCGAGTTCCTCGTTCAAATCGCGCTTTTGTTTTTCAGCTTTACTTCTGAGGCCGCGCTCCGATTCCAAATCTTCTTGAAGTTCATTGAGTTGTGACTCGACTTCGCGAAGATGCTTCTGCAGCTGGGACTTCGATGCGACTTCTTCATCGACTCTCATCATGGCCTGCGCAAGTTCCTCCTCACGTTTGGCCAGCTGTATTTGAACCTCATGTGTATGATTTTTCTTTTCGTTTATCTGTTCTTTAAGATCATTGAGGTCAGTTTCGAGCTTTCTCTTGGTGCGCTCCAATTCAGTCTTGCTGTCGAGTTCTTTCTTGATGCGTTCTTCCAATTCTCCAATCGTAGATTCGTGTTTAGCTTTAAGTTTCATCAAGTGTTTGGCTTTCTCTTCTTCTTCCACCATGGTGCCAGACACATCAGCAATACGTTCCTCTAACATTTTCTTCTCTTTCAGAAGTTTTTGATTAGCGTCATCAATGACTGCAAATTCTTCTTCTATCTTTTTGATTTTAGCATCACACTGAACTTTCTCCAGCTGCAACTTCTGGCGAGCAGCTTCTTCTTCTTCTAGCTGTTCCTCCAAATCTTGAATCTGGGTCTGGAGTTTTTTCTTGTCTGCGTTCAGAGTTGAACTTCTCTCCTCTTCTTCTTCGAGGCGCGTTTCCATGTCATGTAGAATCTCCTCCAGTTCCTGTTTACGTGCAAGTAGCCGAGCGCGCATTTCTTCAGCTTCAGCGCACAGCTCAGTTTCAGCCTGCAGTTGTTCAGCCAAAACGTTCTTGTCTTGCAATGCCTGGTTGAATTTCCTCTGCACTTCTTCCACGACCTTCTTTTGACTTTCCAGGTCATTCATGATCTGCTTCAGTTCATCTTCCTTCTGCGTGAGCTTTTCTTCCTGCTTGGTGACCTGCAGCAGAGGTTTCACTTTGGTGTACAAGCGCCACCACTGCCAGTTTCGCAGCTTCAGGTAAGCAGCACAGTTTCGCTGGATGATGCGGATCGCGTTGAGCTGCTGCAAGCGCTTCTGATAATTGCGCCGTGCCAACATACCGCGGCAGAATGCTTGGAACTGAACAATTAGGTCCGTCATTTTGATGTCTCTCTCCTCTTCCAAGGATGCCAGGACACCTGCTCGCAAGAATATCTTGCTTTGACCTATGCGGTAGAGATTTGGCTCCAGCTCAATTGCCTGAATCATCATCTCGCATGCTTTTTTGCCGTCCATGAAGCCCTTCGGGATGACGTTGGGCGTCAGAAGTTCATACCGTTGTCGGAATTCTTGGAAGGGGATGCGGTTCGGGAAACCTTGACGACAGATACGGATACCTTCCAGCACACCATTGCACCTGAGAATATATAGATTACGTAAAATTGAATAAAATTGATAAAGAGAGCAGAGCATAAGTCATCAGCAAAAAAAAAACATCCGAAACCAGCAATATAAGTCAATGTTCGTTAACAGCGTTAAAAACAGCAAGGAACTCGATGAAAATTCTCATTTTGGTTTACCGAAGTTGATCCAGGACGAGTGCAGCATCTATCTTGCCGGCACGCTTCTCGTGGTTGGGGATGATGCAACGGACGAAGTTGGGGTTGGTGTTGCGCAGCGTGCCCATGAGTTTGGTAAGCTGTTCCTTGTACAGCTGGCTAACTGTGCGGAACATTCCCTTGCGAGTGCGGGTTCCAAACTGGCTGTCGCCCATAGCTTGTTGAGCCATGCCCACGATCTCGGCTGAAAATAATACAATAATATTCGTTGTAATTAGATAGCAAAAACAATAGTACGGTTTCAAGTGCATTTCAGAGCAATGAATCGTCTGAAACATATAATTAAAAAATATTTCGAATTGCCTTTATTCATGAACGTGATTGAGGCGTTGCCGGTAGAAACAGATGAAATTATTTGACACGTATAGGGTTAATCCTATTACATAAGAAATGTACAAATTACTAACATTTTACTTCACCCAGCGCGTATCTCATAGTAATAAGGGCATGGATGTACGCCTGAAATATTTTTGAGACTATTTCTCACCATCCTTCCAGATCTGGACGATGTACGGGTCACTGGACGTCTGCATGAGCAACACAACGTGATCGTTGAGAGGGTCCATGTTCTTCATAAGCCACTGGTGGCCGGAGTAGTCGACACGGCCAGCGTAGTGCACAATGGCGAAGTCTGCTTTGTCACGGAACTCGGATTTGCAATACTTGGGGTGCACAGAATGTGACGTGTTCAGTTTCTCGATGAAAGTTTTGTCCGTAGCTTTTGGGAAGAAACACTCCTCGTCCAGAAGCGCCAAGATTCCCATGGGCTGGTGGGGAATGAGAGTTGATGAGTATGACAGCACGATAGCATGCTAAAAAATATCGTTGGAAAAATCCAAGGAGGGAAAAACAAAGTCCACTGAAACTATAATGATTATGAGTAAAGAACGATGTATAAGTTGAGAGATATTAATTTTAGATGCGTGTGTTTAAATTAATATTTTAACTTTAGTAATTTAAAGGTCTTTAAATAGAGGCTCAGGCTAAACAAATCCATATGCACGTAAAATAGGTTAGGTTATTAGGCAAAAAATATACACATATATAAAAAAAAGTGGACGTGGAGGCAACCTTTTCGATAAGATCGATGGTAGGCTGGAGATCGAGGCCGAAATCAATGAACTTCCATTCGATGCCTTCGCGCTGATATTCTTCCTGCTCCAAGATGAACATGGTGTGGTTGAAAAGCTGTTGCAGTTTCTCGTTGGTGTAGTTGATGCACAGCTGCTCGAAACTGCAACACAAAACTTGGTCAATTATGTTACTAAAGTTACTATTTAATGTAGTTAATAAAAATCCTTTCAAAATAAATTTACTGTCTGTAATGAATGTTATCAAAGAAATATGACAGAAAAAGTAATAGAAACTAAATAGAAATTGCAAGACCTGTTCATGGCGAAGATTTCGAAACCAGCGATGTCGAGGATGCCGATGAAGGAAGCTCCCTGGCGCTTGGTTCTGTCTAGGGACCTGTTGATCCTCATCACAATCCACTTGAAGAGGCGTTCGTACAGAGCCTTGCCGATGGCCTCCACGGCAAACTCGCACTTCACAAGGCCAAGAAATCATGATATAAATGAATTGAAAACATGCAGTAGGGGCAAAAAAAAACGTGTAAAATAAAATGCTCCTAGAAAAACTTGATCTTTTCAGACGGCGAGAAATTGTCAATACACGTGTTTAAACTTCAACCCTCGTCAGACAACGATACTTAAACTTGGTACGATTATAACGTTGGAGAATTATGCAGCCTGACAAGGGTTGAATAAACTTTCTGAAGATTATGGTATATGAAAATAGAAAAAATTTGTGCACATAAGACGACATCTAACCTGCTCCTTGTTCTGGGCCTTGGTGACGGTCTCACGACCGACTTTGATGCGAGGTTTGATGAAGCCTCTCACGAAGTCTGTCACATTCACGCCCAGCAAATGAGCCAACTGAAAAACCAGATGACGTCAGCAACCGAAATACGTAACAATAACTTTGTTTTGCAACACAGGTATGAATTTTTCCTTCATCATATATTACTAATTTTCTGGAATGAAATTTCTCATGATTTCGGACCCAAAAAATGTATATGCAAACCCATCAGCACGAATATTTTATATACAGTAATACTGGAGATTAACATGAATAAGCCAGAAAATATTTCTGCAAACCCCACTTCTGAAGACAGATAATTAAGTTTTTAATAAGATCCATAAAACACTAATGATTGAAATTAATGACCTGTTGAAACAATTATGTTAATATAATACTATTAATTGATATATAAGACCTGCTGAGCGACGGTGTTGTCAGGCAGCGTGGCCTGATCAGAGTTGCGCTCCTGCTTGAACTGCATGTTGCCGAACAGCAAACAAGCGGACACAGTGCGGAACACAGCTGAAAAATTTACCATCATTCTTAAACCTTGATTTGTTTTATAACACGTTTGGGTACAGACGAGATTTCTTTACATTTAATTGCTTCAGGGTCCTCCTACATTTTTTGTATGAAAATGTTCAAAAAAAAATTACACAAATGACGGAAAACCTTAAATAGATGTTCAAAGCTCGAGTTGACGCTGCCATTGTCCAGAAACTAGAACAGAGTTACTTTGTCAATAATATCCATCACCTTAAATAATTGCGTGCGATCGTCGAAATAATAATAAATTAAAAACACTCGTACCTAAGGCCACAATGAATATTGCACTGCCCAATCAGTCAACAACATTCCATAATATTGTCACTAATGATATGCGTTTCAATTTATACACATTAGCAGAGAATACGTAGTAATGCTTACTAGGAATACGTCAACTTAACCATGAAACCGATCTTTACTTCAAAATTTTCAACAATTATTTTATTGGAGTTCAAGATGAGAGGAGTTATCTACAAATTATCATACGCTATCATTCGATTTAACCCTCTACCGCCGTATGTTACTCTTCGAGAACATAACTTTCAACTTAAATTGAATGTAAACTATTGAGTGTAGGTAGCAACCTGAGGACGTTTGTATGCAACAGAGAACATTTTAAAGTTGTCGTACGTGGCGGCAACCATCAGTGCAAGTCATTTGGCGCTCACCAGAACGTATCCTTTTTGGGAAGTAGGCTTGTGACAATATTGCATCGGTTACTCATGTCAGGCGGTAAAGGGTTAAGCATTAAATAAAAAGTATTTGTGAATCATCAGATGAAAATATAAAAAAGTCTACATGATATAGAGAATTTAACTAAAGGCTTTAAGATAAACGTACAGCTAATGTCCTCCTCGCCCATGCCCATGATCTGCATGGCGTTCACGGTGGACTGGAACTCCTGGACGTCGTCCATGGACGGCACGACGACCTTGCCCGCCGTCAGGAAGGTGTACTTCTTGGCGTCCTCCAGCAGGAACTCCTCTGCAACAAGAAATTCGTGAGGTTTGTAAGAATTTTGCAGGATTCGTGGGAATTATATGTGAAAACAACTCTTCCAGACAGAAGTAATCATTGAAATCATACAAATTACAATCATACAATAAATCTTTCAGGGTGTACTTCTAGAGTTCTCCAGCAGAAACTACTCTGCAAGATGGTAATTCGTGAGATTTCTTAAATCTCCCCGGCACAATTAGTCGTTAGAACAGACTTTGCCATCCTAGAAATACAACTAATCACGAATTGGTTGTTTTCATAGAACAGAATTACAAACAAAATAGAGCAAATAAACACATATGTTCAAAGAAGGTAATAGAAATCCTTACTCTTCATGGCGGGTGTAGCGCCGGAGAGGAGCTGGTAGAAGATATGGAAGGTGCGTTCATCGCTGGTTTGTCGGATGGCGCGACTTTTCTCCAGCAAGTAGGTCTCGATGTTGGCTCCAGCGATGAATCCAGAGTTATCGAAGTTGATGCGGATGAACTTGCCCTATTATTAGGGTTAAAAGTTTGTTAAAAAGTTACGGATGAGGACGCTGAAATCTCAGTGGATCATTTAAGGTCCATTTTGGGCGACTAAAACTTTTTTGACAACTTAATAAGTATCAAAATAAAAATAATAAGATTTAGAAAAATATCGAATGAAACTTACAAATCTGGAGGAGTTGTCATTCTTGACTGTCTTGGCGTTACCGAAGGCCTCCAAGATTGGGTTGGCTTGCAGCAGCTGCGCCTCCAACTCTCCCTGTCATGAAACATGGAATTAATGTAGTCAACAACGAAGGAAACCACGCACGAAACATGCAAATAACTACATGTACAATAACTAACAATTTCCAAGCATCATACGACTAAGCCAGATAAACTGAAATCTAAATCGATATCCGGGTGCAAATTTGTTTGCAGTTATTGCAGGTTTATTAGCAATTATTACAATAAGACTTTGAAGTTCAGTATTCATCATTCAACAACATATTGCGGAATATGCATCGCCAATAAACTAACTCGTTTCTATTTATTAATCAAATCAACTCAGTTTGATTTTGAGCAAGTCTGCAGACATACAGTGAAAAATTGTTTAAATGATCACATCCACATGAAAAAAAAACCATAAATGAACATGTAGGTGAAGCTTATTACACGAACAACACAACCTAACATGAACAACACAACATACATCACAGTACACAAAAACTCCACACATAGTCAGATTATTTACAATACAAGTCAAATGCTAAAAAGTGACATCCGAGGTTGAAACAGATAGATCACAAATTATGGTGGCTAGATAAAACTTGTAAGAAATATCAAATGTTAAGCAATTACACGGAAAAAATGATATTTTAGTTGTTTTCCCCAATCCCACACAACAATAAGCGATCTCCACTGCCAAGATGAACAGCAGTGATAAGATCGATATAATTAAAACCAGTAAAATTAAATATCCAATATACTAACAACTAAACAAGACTTTCAAACCGAATTCGTATTCTAGCAACGTAAGAATTGAAGTGTTAGACTACAGGAGTCATTTTGCAGTGCAGCCAACAGAATACCGGCACGAGGCCTCCACGACACGAGCTAATAAAGTAGCCGGCCAGGTGAGGTCATAACACGTAGATGCGGCTATTGTGTTTGGAAGTGGCACTCCTCGCAAATCAAAGCAATTTTGCAAGCAGTTAACAGCACTGCAAGTATTCTTGCGTCTACGCAACTAAATTGCGTTCAAAAAGTTGTCTGCTTGCGATTGAATGGAGAGAGTTGCTGATTGAGTTCCTTCAAATGTAGAGAAATTACACGTTTTTTCACACATGAAATCGAGGTAATCTCGACAATTTCAAGAAGCGACAACTTTCTAGGATTTTTATAATCGTTCAAAATCGGACAATGCCAATTGATAAATAAGAAGAAAATGATCGAAATTAAAGCATTTTACGCCCATGAGGATTAAAAATACCAAAAGATTAAAAGAATGAGCATTACTAGTGATGTCTACAGTGCTATCATGCAACGATGCCGAATACACTGAATATTTCGAACAGAAAACGCGATCGATTTTCATTTACAATCAACAAAATATTACCTTACAAGCTAAGACCACCAACAATTCCATCAACAACCCGAAACGTCTATCCGTCATCAACTGAATTCAAAAACAATCTATGCTTGATAATGGGAGCGCGTGTGAATTTTTCCAGATACGGCGACCGATCTAGAAAAATTATCTGTGCCGATGCTACAATCAACAATTCATAATCGGTTAAATGAAATGTACGTGCAATTAAAAACTACACTGATTACTCGATACAACAGATTATTCTCCCCTTCAAGTTTTGGTCTCCAGCTAGGAAATTATTTACGCTAAAGCAACATCTAGAATTTTCCAACTTGAGTCGACGATTACGTAAAGTAGCCAAAAAATGTGGAAGTTGCACACACGGTGGCGAAGAAGGCGTGATGCAGTGCCACGGGATGTAAATTTTCCAGGTTGAAGTGCGTAGACCATCGCGCAGAGAGCGGCAGCGGAGACAACAATCGAGGTGACAAACAACATTCGCTCTCCAACGAATTCGCTCGATTTCGCTGCTTGAGTTTAAGTGAATAAAGAGCACAAGAAATTATAACCCTGCTAATGAGTTTACATCAATGTACTTTAAAATTGAGAGACCAACTCATATTAAAGTCCTGTCTCCATTATCAAATATAGGATTTCCGACTGACTTTGGAACCTATTTGATCAGGAAACGCTGCAAAATGCGATTTAACTTAGGTAGGAGCTGCGAGTACCATTTCCGAGTGTGCTGTCAGGGCGTGAATCAAGTGCGCACAAGTTAAGAACCAATTCTGGGCCCATACTTTCAAAAAAAAGTTAAGAGATCGTAAGTTTATCAGCCAATCATTGACGGCCTTTCAAGCAAAATCCACCAATCATAGACAAGAAAATAGAGCGTAAGTACTTACGTTCACTTAGCGAGCTTTGAAAGTATGGCCCCTGGTTGACGAGCATACAATATGAACAGTAATATTAGTGTAAATTGACGCGCAAAGAAAGAATTTTTTAATCAATAAACTTATTACGAAGCCGCCACAGTTTTGTGATGCGCAGACGCCAATTCAAGGTAATATATTCGATGCCTACTCTTCCCAGAAAGACGATATTTTCAGTGAAATGAATCAACGATCAGATATTCCCCTCCATTTCGAGCTGTTTTCTCCAGCTTGATTAGAACAAAAAGTCGCTGGTTAAAGAATGCTGCAAGAAGAGGACATCGTCGGCTGCGAGGTCCAGAGGTTATGACCAAACAAAAGAACGGCAAGAGAAGGTGTAGAGTGCACAGTCACGGAGCTCTGCACGGCTCTGCATAAAATAGAAGATGCGATGCGAACCCAACTTGCCTTGTACGTAACTTCATCAGCAGTGCCTTCGAGCAATGAAGTGATAAAAACTCAGACATGTTAAATCAGACATTGCAAAGAAGGCTCAACTACAACCATCAAAATCTGAGAATAATTACCTCGGAACGTCATGCTGCAACTCTCAACGTACTTCACGGTACGTAACTAGAATTACTCGAACGCGAATGATTTACTTTAAACGCGTTCAAAGCTGCCAGAAGACAACACGCTTACAAAAACAAGAGAGACAAAACTGTACTGTTTTTGGAGAGAAAAAGAGTACGATCCTGCAACATCTGTACGCTAGAACAATTTTCCTCACAATTCGTGATTCGGCTGTCAGGTAAAAGCTGAATTCTAGATTGGACGCAGTTAATAAGATTATTAACGAAATCAATGAGGCAGGAGCTCCAAACATCCAGTTGACATTCCGGGTGAGAAGGAAAAAGTTAAAATCACACTAAATTGCTAATCAATCACACAATACACAAAAAGCTCTAGCATATCAACAAGGAAAGCAGATCATGAATATTTTGCATAAAAAAATTCTTTTCAAGCAATGTTATAAAGTGAACAAAAATCATATGCAGATACAGAATATACAGCAAAATGGCCGGTATTAGCTCTGAAAGACGAGAAATGTACCGCGAAAAATGTAAATGTTGTAATTTTAAACAGTTGTAGTAATCTTAAGTGCGCAAATAAAATTTGACCCTTCTTAACACGTGCAATATATTATTTTACATGAATACAAGTACTAATGCGCGAAAAAACTGGGACACTTGACGTTCTATGGGCTTTGTTTGTATAGGAAAATGCGAATCCAAAAGAACAACACCCGCGAACTAACGTAATTAATTATGAGTGTGTGGGTTAGACACTGTAGTACAAACGTCCCTGCATTGGCTAAAGTAAAACAAGACACACGTGCATGAATTTTTAACAGACGACAAAAAAACGACCATGACCGTACATATAACAATGAACACATGTTATGATAGCGGTGATATACAACACGTATGATGACTTGTACATCTGCGCAAAAACGGACGGACGAGGAAAACGTCAGAATATGAAAATTTTTAGTGTCACAAAAAGAAATTCTACGAAAATATTCAAGGAAATATACTATGTACTGGAACACAATAATTTTAAGGAACAGTAGACGGTAGTTATCGAGGCACATAGAAAATACAGAACGACGGAGAATATTGATATCTTGAAGACACGGTACAGTGTCTTCACGGTACAGAAGACACGGTACGTGTACGGTACAGTTCTCGAGTCACACGAAGAAACAAAGAAGCCGATAGTTAATTACGGACACAGCATCTAACACACGACGCTAGTTCACTAGTCACACAGAGAACACAGGATGCTGTAGTTCACTAGTCACACAGAGAACACGTACACACGACGCCGCCAGTTCACTAAGCACACATAAACACGACGCCGTAGTAGATTAGTCACACAGATAACACAAGAGGAGCTGGATCTCGGTGATGCAGAGGACCCACCGCGCTGGTGATGTGCTAATGGTCAGCACCGGCGACCAGCGACCAAATGGTTCGTCATGCGTCGCGTGCCCAGGACCGTGCGCAGCCCACGTCCATAACGATCATTCATATCACCAGAAAGCCAAGGGACATTGAACAACTTATTTAAACATTCTGCCTAGTACCAAGGCATCAACTTTAAATTTCATTACAAACAGAAAATGTGAAGGCAGAGAAGAAAAGTCTGAAAAGATTAGTTCAGAGCAAGATCAATCGCAAGCTAAAATTCTTCGTACATCGCTAAGGTTCGTACCCGCTATTTTACGTACAGGTATATTAGTTTAATTGCACATGATCCTATTCTTATCAGAGTTTTTGAAATAAAGCAAGTACGTGAGGGTAAGAAGCAGATATTGTTAACTGATGCCTTTCAAGTGAAATTAACGCAGGCAGAAGTTAACAGACCAGGCAATGGCTCGCCCCCTTCGTGGGCTGGGACGGTCACGGGAAATTTTGCCATAAGACGGGAAAGACGAACGACCGCCGGCAGGGGTGAAAGTAAAGGTCATTGGGAAGGTGAGGCGCCATACATTGTCAATGGGGGCTTAATCGCAGCCTCCCTCCCCAGCATCTCCTACTTATATCCTCGACGGTGGCCGACCACAGGACTTGCAGAATCAACATAGCTTACGACGGCTCCAAAAAAAAGATCAAAAGTGAATACTTGGCTGTGTAATATTTATAACGAATTTTATCGAAGACGACGCATCTATCATACATATACGTCTCGCCAAGGATCGAGGAAGGTTGGTGGGCATCTGTAGGGTCAGTGTCGGTCATGAACCGTCACTGCATCTCCATTTCTATAGTAGTTTAATACATGTTTATTATTTGAAAAACTTATTAGACGACACCTGTGAAGTGTCCGAGGTTTCCACTGTCATCGTCAAATTATGCCGAATACATATATAAATTGAATACTTTTTCACAGTTTAATGAATCAAAAGGTGCTTTACGAGAAGAACCCGCACTAGGAAGGAATAAACCGATAGGAGTACTGGAATAAACCAAGTGAATAGTTTCAAATTATATTTTAGTACTTGAAAATCTGTTAAAAGCGGTGAACTATTCTGAGCAATAAAACGGGGGAATTAGAGCGATACTGAAGCATAAAGTCACGCTCATCTATGAGGGGGAACTAGTTTTAAAACTCTAACCGGGAAGATATCAGTTGGCATTGAATCAGTTTCCCTAGCATTCATGTGCAAACAAGATTAACCAAGATTTCATAATAGATGAGACACTTTCAGCCTCCATCGCATAATTTGATGTATTGCGTGAGACAAGGGAAGAGAAAGGAAGATAAAGGAAGTTATTGGAACACGACCGCTGTCGCCGGAGCGCTTCAATAAAGAACAAACGTGACGATAACTCGCACACACGCGTCAGTTTCATCACAGCAATGGAGATTAATAGCGCGTATTTTAGATACCCTGAGTACGATTATTCCTTGTGAAAAAGAGTCGATGCTCTCTACATTCGGCGGAGAAAATGAATCACTGGTTGCTACAAGTAAATGACATTTCAAATTGAAGGTGGTGTTGAGAATTTATATTGAAATCACTAACGAATCAGGGCACTTTTCAAAATTGGAAGCAAAACTTTTATGACGACATACATGGAGGCTGAACAGAAGAACAGAAAATCGATACAACTGTGTTAAAGTACGAGGAGAATATTGAATTAATAAGCCACGTGGCACGGTCATGCAAGGCTGTGAGGGGCGGCAGAAAGGTAGTGGTCACGCCAGCCAGCCACCCCCGCATGATAAGATCAGCAATAGTCGTAAGGGCGGCTGGGACTGATTCCAGCTGTGTCATTCCACGATTGAGTGGATCACAAGAACTTAGTTTATTTATTAATCACTTACAACATCGATTTTAATGTGTTTTTGGGCTGCGTAAATGCAATAACCAGTTCATTTGAGCAGGTCGGTATGGCTGCCAGCAGCACGGATCATGGGGCACGCGAGTAGCAGGTTGCTTGCTTTCTCCGCAAGTTACTAGAAAGAGAGGAGGGGTGACCGACAGCGCTGGAGGGGTGCAAGTGAGCGAGCAAGAGAGAATTGTCATTAAGAACACCTGGTGCCAAATACAACTCTTACTGAAACAACAATGTCACGTGCCAGTCCAAGCACACGCTGCTGTACACTCAAGACCGCAAACGTTGTGTCACGAGGCCGTCAAAAGCAACAAACATTGATACACGTCACACATGTGGCACATATGGCGCAGTAACTGGTGATATGTGGCTGATTTTGAACTCCACCAGCACCCACATTCACTACCACCACCACGCAGCTAGCCACCCACTATATCAGGAATGCCGTCTATCTGGCGTCTTCTTTCTTCTGATTTGAAACCCGCTTCCTTGAAGTTAGCCCGTGACTGGAGTCAAGTACTCATTACAGAGAACAACGAGCCGTCCAAATTTGATATGCAGCTTCATAAATTATTAGAAATTAACAGTTTCAATTTATGGAATTATGTGCGAGTTGATCACCTCATTGAGAGCAATTATCGGGCACTTCATACAAATTATACTTGAATGCAGTTTATAAAATAACCGGTTATTGAAAATGATCGCGGAGACGTCGAACTAACCACTGTACAGTGGATGAAGACAGCATTT